TGGGGTCTAGGATGCAGGGACGGGACGAAGGGGGTCCCTCAGCAGGAGCTTCCTGGGATGGAGGGCTGGGATGTGGGGGCCCCGGGGGCAGGATCCAGGCCTGAAGGGGTGGCTTCGGGGCTTCCCGGGGTTCCATCAGGACACAGTAAGGGAAGCAGTCTGAGATGCCAGATAGGTTCTGCACCCTCTCTGTGCCCGGTCCTGATGCTAGATAGAATATGCATCTGGGCTGCAGACCCAGGCCCCGAGGGCACCCGCAGGCAGCTGAGGAGGGCAGGGCTGGGCGCCCTGGGACCGCTGGCCTCGCCTGGGACTGCCTGGCCTTGTTTGTGCCTCTTGGGTCCTCGGGGATGCCTGGCTGATGACAGCCGTGTGTTCAGAGAACACGAGGGTCTTAGCAGAGACTGTGCATGTGGGGTCTGCTCACGGCTGGGGGTCTGCTCGGTGGAGAACACGAGGGTCTTCTCAGCGGAGACTGCCCATGTGGCGTCTGGACCCAGGCCTTTTTCTGACCCCACGCCCCTCCCCAAGGCAGAACAGAGCACAAGAATTGTGGAGCCGGGTGTCGGGTACAAGTCCAGGCCTGTAGCTAGCTGTGGCCATGGGTGACTATCTCATTACCTGCACCTCCGTTCTTCCTCTGTAGAATGGAGTGGGAGCGGTTAATGAATACACGTCCAGCTTGGCAAGTACCCCGTGGCACCGAGCATCCCTCCCCAACATCCACCCACTTGGCTATGCTTCCAGCCCCTGAGTTATCAGCTGAGTGAGCTGAGCTGGGTGCTCCATCCCTTGCAGCCCAGAGCACCCCAACAGAGATAGCCTGGACTGTGCTTTTTGCTTCTCTGTCTCCCCTTGACATGGGGTCTGAGGTTGAGACTGGGTCTTTCTTGCCTCAGTACCCCAGGGCCTACAATAGAGGCTGGCACATGGTGGGGCATCCAGGGGACACCCCACTGCAATAACAGAACCCAACCCCCTACCTGTCCTCAGTCGGACCCTCCCGGGCTTCAGCCGGCTTCTCCTGGCCACTGCTGTCACCTCCCCAGAGGGGTCTGCCCTGCCTCCCTACCTTGCAGCAGCATTTCCCCTCCCCCATGCTCTTCCGACCATGTGACCTTGGTCCCAGCCCATCAAGATGTGGAGGTGATCTTCCCTCGCCCGGAATCTGGGCAGGCCGTGACTGCAGCAGAATGACACTAAGCGACTTCCAAGGCTAGGTCATAAAAGGCTGCCATCCGTCCTCTTGGGACACCTGCTTGCAGAACGCTGCCACCATGTTGTGAGGAAGCTCAGCAGTGACTGGGTGCAGGTGCCATGAGCAGACATCCTCTGCACCCAGGCTGAACGGGACCTGCAGAGTTGATGAGCGCAGTAAGATGATCGCTGCTTTAGTCTGGGGTGGTTTGACGGACAGCAGTAGATACCTAGAACGTACCTTCCCGCTGGACGTTTTTCTCAGTATCTTTTCTACTTAAAATTGCCTGATTTGTTTGTGGTTTACATATCCCTTGTTGGCCGGCCCCAGTAGAACGCACACCGAGGGGGACGAGTGTCTACCTTGTTCCCTGCCGTCCCCCCAGTACCTGGAACAGTGCCTGGCACACAGGGGGCTCAGAAGGTTCTTTTCAGGTGAACAGACCTGCAGCCTGGCTGCAGAGCACGTGACGTGCCTTCCTCTCAGTCCCTGTGCTGTGTCTTTTGGGGTCTTTAGTTCAAAGTCACAAAAACCAGCTTTGACTAATGGGAGCCAAAAATATTCAGGAAGGGGTGGTGGTTCATGAGCCCCAGGAAGCTAAAGACCCTGGTGTGTGGGTGGGACGGGGCCTCTGGCGAGGTGTGCAGCAGGAAGCCAACAGGAGCTGGGGCTGGGACAGGTGGGCCAGGGCTGTGTCACCGCACTGCTTGGCGCATGAGGCCCCCTCCTCCTCCACCCCTTTGCTGCGGCTCAAGGTAAAGGCTGGTGATCCCATCTCTGGTCGGCCACCTTGGGCCGGGTGCCTGCCCCTTGTCTGGGAGAGGGCTGGCCCCAGCTACCATGGGCACCCGCGGGAGACCACGTCAGTCCTCGCAGAGAAGATGAGGAGCCTCCAGGAAGGGAGCAGAGGCTAGGCAGGCTGGGAGGCACTTGCCTATCCTATCCATTCTGCAGCTGAACAGAGCCCAGGCAAGGGCCAGCCTTCCAGGAGCCCAAGGTGTTGGTGGAGAAGCTAGGGAGGTGGGGGCAGCTCCCAGAGGGGACACAGCGGGGAGGGCTCTGCAGGATGCTGTCAGGAGGGTGGTACTCCTGGGGAAGCCCCCAGGCCCTCTTTCTTGGGGTGCCAGGCCTTGACATACAATGCTGGCTCCTGCTTGCCCCACCAGCCTTAGCTTGGCCCATGCAGCCCAGCCTGGGAAGGGTTAAGTTTCGGCCTCCTCCAGCGACAGGCTGGCCTGATCTCCCGAATCCTCTTTTAATTTTGTTCTGGCAAAGGCAGATGCCTCTCGCCTGCTCTGCCGACTGGTGTGTGTGGCTGGGCCCCTGTGGACACCTGCCCGGGAAGGCAATCAAGGCAGCCACGCGTCCCACCCAGAGGTGGGTGACCATGCCAGCAGGTGGTGCTGGGCTCTGCCAGGTGTCCCTCATAAATGCCATGGAAGCGGTTGGAGCTAGTGGGGAGCATAGACAACAAAGGGTGGGAGGAGGCCTGGGGAGCAGCCCCGTTTGATGGACGCAGAAACTGAGGCCCAGGGGGAGTGAGGCTCACCCATCACCCCTCTCGGCCAGTGAGCACAGGGGTCCACTATAAACCAGGGAACTCAGCCTGGGTCTCACCGCAGGAGGAACACCTGTCACTCCTGAGTCACTCCTGAGTCAGCCCCCGCTCCTCTCCAGCCATCCCTGCAGGGTAAAGAGTGGACTCCTGGCAACCCCAGCTGCCCCCACTCCTCTCTCCTGAGCTCACCTGCCTTGGCTCCTGTCGTGTCTCCCCACTCACTCCCAGATTCTCCCAGGTCAAAGACGGCCTCCTCCACTCTCCTATGTGCCAGGAAAAGTCATCACCCCCAGACGGTGGGCCCCTGCCCAGGGGGTCTTACCTGCACATGAATGTGGGGGGCATTTGGTCCCGTGGAGTAGCCGGGTACCAGCACACCCAGGAAGGCAGCGTTTGGCTCTGTGGGTTGAACACCCCCTGTCCAGAGAGCACCTGGCGGAGAGGGGTGTCGGGGTGCACACGTCTCCCACAGCCCCCTCAGAGATGGTGTGGCTCGGCTCTGGAAGTGTCCATGAAACACAGTCAGGGCCATGGAACAGATATGAAGCCTGACACAGGGGAGACGGAGATGGGGACTGAGGAGTGGGCGTTCACCAGGGGCACGGTTTCAGCTTGGGAAGATGAGAATGAGAATGTTCTGTGGACGGACGGTGGCGACGGCCGCATGAGGACGTGAATGTGCTTACCGCTACTGAACTGTGCCCCTAACAGTGCCGATAGTGGTGATTCGTTATAATTAATTTTTTAAAATATTTATTTATTTATTTTCTATATGGAATCTGGCTCTGTCGCCCAGGCTGGAGTGTAGTGGTGCGATCTCAGCTCACTGCAGCCTCTGCCTCCTGGGTTCAAGCGATTCTCCTGCCTCAGCCTCCCAAGTAGCTGGGATTATAGGCGCCCGCCACCATGACCAGTTAATTTTTTTTTTTTTTTTTTGAGACGGAGTCTTGCTCTGTCTCCAGGATGGAGGGCAGTGGCATGATCTCAGCTCACTACAACCTCTGCCTCCCGGGTTTAAGCGATTCCCCTGCCTCAGCCTCCCAAGGAGCTGGGATTACAGGCACGTGCCACCACACACAGCTAATTTTTTGTATTTTAGTAGAGATGGGGTTTCACCACGTTGGCCAGGATGGTTTCAATCTCCAGACCTCGTGATCTGCCCGCCTCGGCCTCCTAAAGTGCTGGAATTACAGGTGTGAACCACCGTACCCGGCTAATTTTTTTATTTTTAGAAGACACGGGGGTTTTGCCATATTGGCCAGGCTGGTCTTGAACTCCAGACCTCAGGCAATCTGCCCACCTTGGCCTCCCAAAGTGCTGGGATTACAGGTGTGAGCCACTGCGCCCAGCCTAATTTTTTTTTTTTTTTTTTTTTTTAGAGAGAGGGTCTGGCTCTGCCATCCAGGCTGGAGTGCAGTGGTGCAATCATAGTTCACTACAACCTTGACCTCCTGGGCTCCAGTGATCCTCCCACCTCAGCCTCCCCGGTAGCTGGGACTACAGACATGCATCACCATGCCAGGCTAATTTTGTAGTTTTAGTGGAGACAGGGTTTACCATGTTGGCCAGGCTGGTATCGATCTCCTGACCTCAGGTGATCCGCCCACCTTGGTCTCCCAAAGTGCTGGGATTACAGGTGTGAGCCACCGCGCCAGGCCAGGTGCATTTTTCATCACACACACACACTAAATGAGTGTATAAAAATCACAGCTTCTCACTGCTTTCGGCATGCCGGCCACCCTGCAGAGATCTGTTGAGTGCCTGGTGTGTCTGGCCCAATGGGACGGAGCTGGACTGTGTTCCCAGCTCCCTGAGGGTGGTGGTTCATATCTGACCACACCACTGGACACTGGCCTGGGTCAGGGCATACACCCCGCAGCATCCCTTGGGCGGGTCTTCACGCAGGAGCAGCCCTGGGCGGAGGGATGTGAGGCCTGACAGGGGACTGGCTCCCTGGGGCAGGACCAGCCTGGTCACAGTGTAGGGGCTGGAGTCACTGTGCCTGGGGCACTGGTAGAGGGGGTCCTGGCTGGAAAGTCTGTCAAGTCCCTGGGAGGGGAGAGGGGGCTGGGGAAGGAAATGGGGGGGAAGGAGGAGGTAGGTTTCTTTGCTGGAAACCCCCACTCTGCAGGGCAACCCCAGCTTGGGGGGTAGAGGATGGAATTAAATCCTGTTCATGAAATCCCACCCAGGTTTCCCACGGACCCTAATTCACTAATAACGGGGGACGGAAGGACACGGGCCTGCCCTATTTCCCATTTTATTCAAATGGGATTGAATTTTTTTAATCCTGTAATAAAGTGACAATTTCCATTTTCCCAGGCAATTCACTTTCACAAAATGACCAGGGTCACGACCTGCTTTGCAAAAATCAGCATTTGGTGATTAAATCAAATCTGTAAGACGAGTTTTCCCAGAGATGCTTCCTGGCACAGTGTGGGGACGGGAGGCCCCCCTGGCATGGGGCCTGGTGGCTGGCTCCAGCTGTTAGATATCAGCCAGGGGCCCTGGGGGCTGCAGGCTGCTCTCCCGAAACCCGGGCAGGTCTCAGCACCAGCCAAATGACCTGGCTTCTCTGGCCTCAGTCTCCTCGTCTCTGAAACGGGGACATTCTAGTCCCTCCCTCCTGGGGAGGGCAGGTGAAAATCGAATGAGATGCAGCACCAAGGCCTCCCTCCACGTTGATAGTTCCACTTACTATTCCTTTTTAGAAGTGTTTATTTGTGTTTCAGAGTTGGGGTCTCGCTCTGTCACCCAGGCTGCCGTGCAATGACGCGATCATGGTTCACTGCAGCCTCCAATCGCTCCAGCGATTCTGCCGATTCCGCCGCCTCAGCCTCCCGAGCAGCTGGCACCACAGGCAGGTGCCACCACGCCTGGCGAGTTTTATTTTATTATATAGAAATGGGATCTTGCTGTGTTGCCCAGCCTGGTCTTGAACTCTGGGGCTCTCTCCTTGGCCTCCCAAAGTGCTGGGACTACAGGCGTGAGCTGCCACACCCAGCCTGATGATTTTTTTTTTTTTTTTTTTTTTTTTGAGACTGAGTCTCTCTCTGTCGCCCAGGCTGGAGTGCAGTGGCGCGATCTCCACTCAGTGCAAGCTCCGCCTCCCAGTTTCACACCATTCTCCTGCCTCAGCTTCCCGTGTAGCTGGGACTACAGGCACCTGCCACCACGCCTGGCTAATTTTTGTATTTTTAGTAGAGATGGGGTTTCACTGTGTTAGCCAGGGTGGTCTCGATCTCCTGACCTTGTGATCCGCCCATCTTGGCCTCCCAAAGTGCTGGGATTACAGGCGTGAGCCACCACGCCCAGCCTGATGATTATTTTTAATAATCATGTTATTATTATCTGAGGGACTGAGCTTTGAGGCTGGATCTTGGGAAGCTCCTGCGCCCCTCAGGCTCCCTCCTGGGGCCCCAGGTCACCATGACCCCCAGACTGGGGGCAGTGGGTCCCCTCTGTCTCCATGGACACCACACCTAGGGACAAGCTGGGCCCCTCTCCCTGGCAAGGGCCTCATGGGAAGCTACAGGCCAGCTCTGTCCCAGGGAGCGGGGGCCCTCCGCAGGCACCCAGCATTTCCAGCACACCTGTGCAGACTTTCCCATAGCTGGAAATCAACATGAGTGAGTGCCAGGGTGAGACTGTGGCCCGTTGTATCAATAATTCCAATCTCCAGCACTTTGCTATCATTATTATCCCACTTGACAGATGGGGACAGTGAGAGGCTCAGAGGGGCCAGGCAGCTGCCCAAGGCCAGTAAGTGGTGAAGCTAGGGTGGGGTCCAGGCAGTCTGGTCCCAGCCTCCCAGGTGGCCTGCCCAGGTTCCCTGCGAGCCTTCTCTCGTGGGGCCCCAGTGCAACCCTCAGAGGCGGGGCCCCTGAATCCCTGCTGCCCCCAGAGGGGCTGGGCTCATGCCCACTTCACAGCTGTGCCCCTGAGCCTTTGGGTGGCCCAGTGAGTGTGGCTCTGGCCCGGCCCCAGCTCTCCACCCTCTTTTGGGGGGTGCCCCAGTGGAACCTCTGAACAGCAGGCCTGGGGTTTCTAAAAAAAATCAACTTTCAGCTGGGCACGATGGTTCACGCCTGTCATCCCAGCATTTTGGGAGGCCGGGGCCGGCAGATCACCTGAGGTCAGGAGTTTGAGACCAGCTTGGCCAACATGGTGAAACCCCATTTCTGATAAAAATTCAAAAAAAATTAGCCTGGCGTGGTGACACACGTTTGTAGTCCCAGCTACTCGGCAGGCTGAGGTCGAAGTATCGCTTGAACCCTGGAGGCAGAGGTTGCAGAGAGCTGAGATTGCACCACTGCACCCCAGCCAGGGTGACAGAGCGAGACTTTGTCCCCCCTAAAAAAAAGCAAAAAAACAAAAACAAAAACTCAACTTCCTGTCACCTGCCCTGAATCATACCTTGGACTGAGCCCCAGGAGCCGGAGACAAGGTGGGGGGTGACCCAGACCTGCGGCAGACTTCAAAGCGGACTTCACAGCGGACTCCTCCCCTCAGCTCTGCAGCTCCCGGAGCGCACATCCGGTGAGGCTTCCCAGGAGAGGTGAGTTTGAGCTTCGATGGGGCAGAGATGCGCTTGCAGGCTCGGGGAGGGGCCTGGGGACCTTCCAGGTCTGTGTCGTCGGCCCTGGGCTCAGGATTTGATCAGTGAGGTCAGAACCACATAAAGCGGGCCCAGGAAGGCTGCCCACCCAGGAGCTGCAGCCTGGGACCCCCGCCCCTCTGGGAACCCCTCCTGCCTCCTCCTGCCCCTGGAATCCACCATTTTCCTGCAAGGTGGGGACCACAGAGTGGTTGGAGGGTTCAGCGATGTTCACTACTATGGTGTTTGTCTAAGGAATGGATGAACCCTGAGAGTGCCCAGGTGTTCTCCACAGGATGGGAGAGGAAACTGAGGCACAGGGGGTGGAGTCACTGTCTCAAGGCTGCAGGGCAGAGGAGCAGAGGGTGGGGTTGAGCCTCGGCCCCCAGCACCCCCCTCCACCCATCACCTACCTGGCTGCAGGCTCCAGGCCTGGTCTCTGCCTGTTTAGCTCTGGAATGATCTGGCCTGTGGGTCACTGGCGCTGTGAGGTCCCCTGGGCGTGGGGGGACGGCGCCATCCTGTAAAGCCCCCACTTTAATGAGTGCGAAGCCGCCTAGTGTGCCGCCACCCTAGGTGCTGGTAATTAAAGCGGGAGGGGCTGTGGCCGGAGGAGGCAGTCAGGGAGTCGCTGTCGTAGGAGGCCGGTGGCTTTGGGGTAGGCGGGAGGAGGCCGGGGCCGCACGTGTTGGGTTTTAATAAAAAAGGACACCCGTGTCCACGTGACCGCCTGAGAAGGTCAACGCCTAAGTCCCGGGTTGGGGGTCTGTGTCTGGGATTCCTGGCCCTGGGCAAAACCAGCCTCTGGGGAGATGCCCCGTGTGGGGTCACGGCAGGGACTGCTTGGCTCTGCCTCAGTTTCTTCCCAGCCTCAGGAAGAGGCTGCAGGAGGCTATGGGGGTACTTCTGCCTCTGCCTGAGGGAGTGCAGGACCCGGTCGTAAGGACTTTGGGGTCACACACACCTGGGCATGAGCTCTGGCTCCATGTGCCACTTGGGGCCTCAGCATCCTCATCTGGAAAATGGGAAGAACCCAGTCTCCCACCCGGGTTCCTGTGAGGCCTGGAAGAGAAGGTGCTGCAGATGTGCGAGGTGGCAAATGGAGAGGCCCGTCGGGGTGGAAGGGCTGAGACACCTGGGGCTCCACAGAGGCGGCTGTGGATCGCTGCTCCCCACGGACGGGGCTCATGGCCCCTCCCAGTTTATAGCCTTGGGTCTCGGCCCACAGCCCGTTTCCCCACTCGCCCCGTGACAGTTCCACCCAGGCCCTCCCTGAGCTCCAGCCTCTTCTAAGCAGCTTCCCACCCTCCGTGGGTGTCCCATGGCCCCTCATGGGCCCCCCAGCCTGCTCCTTCAGGTTCCTCCACCCCCAGCTGCAGCACTGCCCCATCCAGTAGACCTCCACCCAGTAGAACTCCAGGGCTCCATTCATGCGGCCACTGCAGACCTACTGTGTGCTGAGGAAGTGCCTACTGTGTGCTTCTCACCTATTATGTGTTGATGACATGATTGTCATGTGCTGAGGATTTACCTACTGTGTGTTGCACACCTACTATGTGTTGATGACACAATTGTCATGTGCTGAGGATTAACTACTGTGTGCAGAGGAGATGCCTACTGTGTGCTGCACACCTACCATGTGTTGATGACAAGACTGTTATATGCTGAGGATTTACCTATTCTGTGTTGCACACCTACTATGTGTTGACACGATTGTCATGTGTTGAGGATTTACCTACTCTGTGCTGAGGATTTACCTACTGTGTGCTTAGGATTTACCTACTGTGTGCTGCAAACCTACTATGTGTTGATTACACGATTGTCATGTGCTGAGGCTATGCCTACTGTGCACTGAAGACTTATCTACTGCATGCTGAGGATACTGCAGGGACCAAGACAGACATATTCCTGTTGCTCATGGAGAGGCAGTGGCCAGATACACACATCTCCTTGATAATAACGCAGATGACAGGCACTGCAAAGGAAAATGGAGGCCAGGTGTGGTGGCTCACGCCTGTCATCCCAGCACTTGGGGAGGCCGAGGCAGGCAGATCACTTGAGGTCAGGAGTTTGAGACCAGTCTGGGCAACATAGTGAGACCCAGTCTCTACTAAAAAATTTAAAAAGTTAGCTGGGCATGGTGGCACGTGCCTGTAATTCCAGCTACTCGGCAGGCTGAGACGGGAGAATCGCTTGAGCCCAGGAGGTCGAGGTTGCAGTGAGCCGAGGTCACACCACTGCACTCCAGCCCGGATGACACAGCAAGACCCTGTCAAAAAAAGGAAGAAAGAAAGAAAGGAAGAAGAAAAGAAGGAAAGAAGGAAGGAAGGAAGGAAGGAAGGAAGGAAGGAAGGAAGGAAGGAAGGAAAGAAGGAAGGAAGGAAGGAAAAGAAGCAGATAAAATTAATTTTAATAATGTGTTTTATGTAACTCAACCTATCCCAAATACTATTATTTGCTGTGGAATCACAATTGTTGAGATGTTTTACACTTTCTTTGGCACCGTGTCTTTGGGACTTTGGGATCTGGGTGAGTTTCATGTTTTCGGGGCAACTGGGCATGGGCTGATAGAGAAGGGCAGAGGCAGGTGGCACCTGTGGGCCGAGGGACTGTGGGACCTAGGGCCCTGGACTCTATTCCATGGGCACTGGGGAGCCATGGAGGGTTTGGAGCAGGAGAGGGATGTGGTTGTGTTAACCTTTGAGAATCACCTGAGAAGCTGAGTGGAGGATGGACTTCAGGGTTGTTGAAGATGAGGCGGGAGGCAGCAAGAAGATGGCATGAACGGTGACCCAGGTAACCAGAGAGGAGGCGTCAGGCCTGGGCGCCTTGGTGGGGGAGGGTGTGTGGAAAGAGCAGAGTCGGGGGTTCCCGGGCGCTGGCCACGAGGCCCTGGGAGGGTGGAGGTGACTGTCCAGCTGGGCAGGGGGCAGCAGAGGGGCAGCTCCCGATGTCCAGGGACCCTTTTGGGGCAGCCCCTGACCTGTCTGTTGGGCCAAGCTCACAGAACCCCATGGGGGCTGGGTGACGTGCAGAGGACACCGCCTGGCCTGGTGTGGCTGCGGCCCCTTCCTGCTGGAATGGTGGGCGGGGCAGGTGAGGCGTCAGGGAGCATTGTGCCAGCAGAAGGAACAGCCATGCAGGGTCACAGAGGCCCCAGTGGCTGCCACGGGCTGCAGTGGGGAGCGAGGCTGGCCAGGTCCCAGGAAGCTCACAGGGTCCAGGGTGTCCTATCTAAGTGCAATGGGCAGTCACTGCTGTAGGGCTGACTTGGGCTGATGGAATGAGATTGGGGCACAGAAAACTTCCCTCTGGCCTCTGCAGACGGATTCCAGGCTTCCCTCATGCCAGAGGGGCCAGCGAGGCCGCAGGGGTGTAAGGGAAGCTGCTGGAAGTGGGTTCGTGGATAGCTCAGGAGGGAGCCAGAGGCTATCCGGCTGTAGGGTCAGGTGGCCAGACTGTTGGTGGGGCCGTGGAGGGAGAAGAAGGTTTGGCCCTGCCAAGCCCTCCTGGGTCTGATATTCACAGTGAGGGTCCGTGTGACACTGCCCATCGCAGGCCTTCCCTCCCACTCGCACCTCGCCCTCCTCGCCCACCTCGCCACGCCGCAGCTAACACTGTCAGCTGGTAATTGTCCTGGTCCCTTTATCCTGCGCTTTAATAAATAATTTACCTGAATTATTCACATGGAAATTTCAACATTATTAAAAATTAACCAACTTAAATGAGTCCATGGTAAATAGCCGGGTGGCTCTTCCGAGGCTGAATGCTGAAGATCGAGTGAATACCGGGCGGGGGGCAGCCCCGAGGAGGGGGCGGCAGGTGCATGGCAGGTGAGCAGTGAGTGGGGACGGGTGGGCCTGCAGGCCGACAGGGCCAGACCCACCCCTAGGAGTAGCCCCAAGGCAGCTTGGAGCTGGAAGCCCTGTGCCCTGACCCCTCACAGTCTGGGCAGCCTCAGGAAAGTGTCTGCACCTCTCTGGGCCATTCATGCAATGGGATGCCCCCCGCCCGCCCCCACTTGCTCAGAGGACTGTGGAGAGGGCCGGGCAAGGAGGGTAACCAGGGGCAACATGGGATGGTGAGCAAAGAGCCAGCTTCCATCTAGAAAGCAAATGTACTCTCCCTGCCTGGCTGGGCCATGCACAGAAGTGCTTCCTGACCCAGTGGGCATCAGCAGAGGAGCTCCCTGGGCATGGTGGGTCATCCTGGGTGTGGGGTGTCCTCAGCACCTGCAAGGCCTGGACACAGAGTGCTGAGCAAGCGGTGAGGGAGCTGGTGCTTTGCTATAACCGTTTCCCAAGCGTTTTCCTCAACATCTCTGCCCAGAATGACACCCCAGTTCCTGCATCACTGAAGTCAATGTCCTGTGCAGCTTTATTCATTGTGATTAAAGGGTGCTAGGCTTTGGGGAAACATTCTAGATATCTAAACCAGTTGCTGTTTGCAAAATCGTCTTTACCAAACAGGGGCGCTGAGTGCAAATGATTTGGGGTCGGTGTGGCGCCTGTGGACAGGGCAGTGGAGAAACTGTACTTGCTTGGTAAGCTGCAGAGGCCTGGGCTCAGAAAGCCCTGCCAAGAACCCTCCTCCGCCTGCACTGTCACCAACACTATGGCCACACGTATTCCTGATAGGCCTGGGCCTCAGACACCTCCATGTCACAGGTGACAAAGCTCAGACACAGGAGGAAACAGATAGTCCAAATGAGCCAGGGTTTGGACCCAGGTGGCTCACGCCTGTAATCCCAGCACTTTGGGAGGCTGAGGTGCGCAGATTGTTTGAGGTGAGTGAGGAGTTCAAAATTTCCTGGCCAACATGGTGAAACCCCGTCTTTACTAAAAATACAAAAATTAGCCAGGCATGATGGTAGGCACCTGTAATCCCAGCTTACTCAGGAGGCAGAGGAGGAGGATCACTTGGGCCCTGGAGGCAGAGGCCACAGTGAGCCGAGATTGCACCACTGCACTCCAGCCTGGGCAACAGAGCGAGACTCTGTCTCAAAAAATAAAATAAAAATTAAATTAAATTAAATTAAATCAAAAATAAAAGAAACTGAACATTGTTCCAATACAAGCAGCAAAACCTAAGGGAACCCTTCTCAAGAAACAGTGTATTTGAGTTACCAGAGGAGCTTATTAAAGTTCCGTTTCTAGTTCAGTAAGTCTGGGCTGGGGCCATTGCAATCAGGCAAGAAAAATAAATGAACACGTCCAGATGGGAAAGGAAGAAGTGCTATCTGTGTTCATAAGGACATGATCCTCTGTGAAGACAACCTGGTGGAATTTACAAAAAAAGCTATTTCCAAGATCACAGGATGCAAGAACAGTACGCAAAGATCAAGGGTATAGCAATTGTATGACAATCAGAAACTAACATTAAAATGCCATTTACAAAATGTGAACCACTGAGAGGTAAATCCGACAAAAGGTGCCAGACCTGTGCACTGAAAACTCCAAAAACAGCTGAGAGAAATTAAAGAAGGTCTAAATAAATGGAGAGATATACTGGCTTCATGGAGGGGACTTAAGAATGTTATTTCAGCCAGGTGTGGTGGCTCACGCCTGTAATCCCAGCACTTTGGGAGGCTGAGACGGGTGGATCATGAAGTCAGTAGATCAAGACCATCCTGGCTAACACGGTGAAACCCCATCTCTACTAAAAATACAAAAAAATTAGCCAGGTGTGGTGGCGGGCGCCTGTAGTCCCAGCTACTTGGGGGGCTGAGGCAGGAGAATGGCCTGAACCTGGGAGGCGGAGCTTGCAGTGAGCCTAGATCGTGCCACTGCACTCCAGCCTGGGGGATAGAGTGAGACTCCATCTCAAAAAAAAAAAAAAAAAAAGAAAAAGAATGCTATTTCTGACTGGCCAGGTGCAGTGTCTCACACTGGTAATACCAGCATTTTGGGAGGGAGGCCAAGTTGTATGGATCGCTTGAGGTCAGGAGTTCAAGACCAGCCTGGCCAACATGGTGGAACCCTGTCTCTACTAAAAATACAAAAATTAGCCAGGTGTGGTGGCGGGCACCTGTAATCTCAGCTACTCAGGAGACTGAGGCAGGAGAATCACTTGAATCCGGGAAGCAGGGATTGCAGTGAGCTGAGATTACTCCACTGTACTCCAGCCTGGTGTACAGAGTGAGACTGTCTTAAAAAAAAAAAAAAAAAAAATCAAAAATGTGTAGTTGGCCAGGGACAGGCCCTAGGTTCTGCATTTGTAACCAACAAGAGCAGAACAAGACAAAGTCTTGTTGATGGCGGCCGCTCCATGGCCCACATTTAAATCATGTCCTTTATCCCACCATCTCCCAAGTCCTGAATCCAGCCCACGGCCACAGGGTGCTGTCTCTGCACATCGCTCCTGTCTCCTTCAGCCTGGGACCCTCAGCCTTGCTTCAACTTTTGTGCAATTAACATTTTCAAAAAGTCCAGGCAGGATATTTATAGAATGTCCGTCAATTCGGGTTTGTCTAACATTTCTCTTGATTTCAATGTATTTTTATTATTATTTTGCTTCGAGATGGGGTCTTGCTCTGTTGCCCAGGCTGGAGTGCAATGGCACAATCTCAGCTCACTGCCACCTCCACCTCCAGGATTCAAGTGTGTCTTCCGCCTCAGCCTCCCAAGTAGCTGGGATTACAGGCGCACGCTACCACGCCCGGCTAAATTTTCTTTTTTTTTTTCTTTTTTTTTGTACAGACGGGATTTCACCATATTGGCCAGGCTGGTCTTGAACTCCTGACCTCAGGTGATCTGCCCGCCTCGGCCTCCCAAAGTTCTGGGATTACAGGCATGAGTCACCGTGCCTGGCTGAAAGTTGATTTTTTAAGAAACCCCAGGCCTGCTGTTCAGAGCCCGATGGGTGGGGAAGGCGGTGGGCAGGGGACACGCCGCACGGAAGCTGCTGTGGGGTATCCTGCCTACGTCACCACCCAGGCTGAGGTGCAGACAGAGGATTTAATTAAACAGGTCAGTCACACCTCACCTGGAGTGCGTCACAGCCCGTTGGGGTAGAGGGGGTGCTCCTTCACCTGCCTCGGGTCTGACTTGAAGTTAATAAAATCCCAGCCAAAGGATGACCTCGAAGCCGGCTCCCTACCCTCCTGAAGGCCACAGCAAGGCCCCTCATAAAAGGTTATTAAGGAAAGTAAATAACTCAGCCCGTGGGGGAGGCTTCCTGGCAGAGGCATCAGGGGCCCCTGGGAGAAGGTGAGGGCGTGGGCCTGGCGGCCGGTGGCCAACAGTGATGGGGGCCCAGGTCCTGCCCCGTAATTATCCATGTAGGGAGGGGCGGGGTAGGGTGGGCGGGGGCTGCTCAGATTCCTCTTAGGAGCTCTGGTTATAAACGTGAGTGTAGAATGTACAGGTTGGGACAAACGTGGGCTCCTTTGGGGCGCTCTGGGGTTTACCTCCCTCGGGGACGCAGCGAGAGCTCATCCTGGGGAGGTCCTGGCCCTGTACTGGGGGCACGGTGTGGAGCTGGGCGCAGGGGCCTGCACCTGTGGGGCTGCTGCACTGGCTGAGCACGTTGGGCATGTGTGTTAGGGCAGAAGGCCCGGCCACACGGCTCCTCTGCTCAGGGAGAGGCCTCTTCTCTCTTTGGCTTGGAGTTCGAGGCGCCGAAGGCCTCAGGGGCAGCATTAGGGTCTTGTCCTAGAGGACTCTCGGGGAGCTGTGGGTTGGGATCCCGTGGTAGGCCCGTATGCTGCCCAGGAGCCTGGGGGCTCCCCTGTGTGACTTGTAGGGCAGGGACAAACCCTCAGCGCCTTCCAAGCCTGTGTGTGCTCACCTACAAGTGGGGATGGTCAACAGAGACACGGGGGAGCAAACTGGAAAGCGCGGCACCCATCGGGGACAGCAGCTGTAGCTCATGGGACGCAGGATGGACCCCCTGATCCTGGGCGCTGAGCCGACCTCTGCTCTGGGCCGGCTCGGCCGGAGGTCAGTCCCAGTCCCCCTGCAGATCCCGGCTCACCACAGCCGAGGGCCTCTAGGCCTGTCCTGGGACCACCAGCAATCGGCTCCTCCCAGCCTCCAGCGGCCGGGCGGCTTGGGTGGCCCCAACAGAGGGCCGGGGGACTCCAGCGGCTGTGGCCTTTTCCACAGCTGCCCCTCACCCCCGACTCCCTAGTAAGATGTCAAAACTTACTACAAAGCTACAGTAATGAAGACAGTGTGGTCCTGGGGTAAGGACTCACATGGAGATTAAGGGAATAAAACAAAATTCAGAGACCAGAAATAAACACACTCGTTCACTGACTTCCAACAAGGGCGTTCAATGAGCATTTTCCACAGATGGCGCTGGGACAACTGGACATCCACAGGCAAGAGTGGACTCGGCCTCACACCACATGCAAAAATTAACTCCAAATAGATCATGGGGGCCAGGCGCGGCGGCTCACGCCTGTAATCCAGCACTTTGGGAGGCCGAGGTGGGAGGATTGCTTGAGCCCAGGAGTTCAAGACCAGCCTGAGCAACAGAGCAGGACCCATCTCTACAAAAAATAAAATAAAATAAATAGCCAGATGTGGTGGAGTGTGCCTGTGGTCCCAGCTACTTGGGAGGCCGAGGTGGGAGGATCGCTGGAGCTCAGGAGTCCGAGGCTGCAGTGAGCTGTGATTATGCTACTGTACTCCAGCCTGGGCAATATAGCAAGACTCTGTCTTTACAAAAAACTTAAAAAGTAGCGAGGTGTGGTGGTGTGTGCCTGTGGTCCCAGCTACTTGGGAGGCTGAGGTGGGAGGATCGCTGGGGACCTGGAGTTTGAGGCTGCAGTGAGCTATGATCATGCCACTGCACTCCAGTCCGTGCAATATAGCAAGACTCTGACTTTATAAAAAAATTAAAAATTAGCTGAGCATGGTGGCACACGCCTGTAGTTCTAGCCACGCGGGAAGCTGAAGTGGGAGGATCACCTGATCCCAGGAAGCCTTCACTTTGTGGGCTTGACTTGAGGCCCAAGACTGAGTATTCACAGCCCGGAGGTCAGCAAGTGGGCAGGTATGGGTGAGCTATTACTGTGCCACTGCACTCCAGCCTGGGTGATACAGTGAGACCCTGTATAAAAAAAAAAAAAAAAAAAAAAAAGAAAAACAAAATCACAGAACTAAATGTGAGAGCTGAAGCTCTAAAGCTCTGAAAACAAAACACAGGAGAAAATCTTTGTCATCTTGAATTAGACCAAGCCTTCCTAGACATGGCATGAAAGTCACAAGAGAAAAAAGAAAAAAATAGATACACTGGACTTCGTCAAAATTAGAAGCTTTTGTACTTCAAAGGATGTCATCGAGAAAGGGAAAAAAACACCTGCAAAATGGGAGAACATTTTTGCAAAACGGATTTCTGATAAGACATTTATGTCTAAAATATATAAAGAACGATTATAACTCAATAACCAAGAAACACATAGCCCAATTTTTTAAATAAGCAAAGGATCCGAATAGACATTTCTCCAAAGATGATATAAAAATGGCCCATAAGCACATGAAAATACTGTCAGCCATCAGGAAAACACAAATTAAAATGAGACGGCCCCTCACACCCGCTAGGATGACTAAAATAAAGCAGACAGATATTGGCAAGTATTGGTGAGGAGGAGAAATCGGAAAGTCAGAACTCTAGCACACTGCTGGTAGGCAGGGAAAAAGGTTGCATCCATTTTGACAAATAGTTTGTCTTTTCTTTTCTTTTTGTTTATTTTGAGATTGGGTCTTGCTGTTGCCCAGGCTGGAGTGCAGTGGTGCAATCACAGATCACTGCAGCCTCGAACTCCTGGGCTCAAGCGATCCTCCCATGTTAGCCTCTGGAGGACCTGAGACCACAGATGTGCACCACCATGCCTGGCTTATTTTATTTTATTTTATTTTATTTTATTTATTTTATTTTATTTTATTTATTTTTTGAGACAGAGTCTCTATCTGTCGCCCAGGCTGGAGTGCAGTGGTGCGATCTCAATTCACTGCAACCTGCGCCTCCCGGGTTCACTCCATTGTCCTGCTGAGTAGCTGGGACTACAGGCGCCCGCCACAACACCCGGCTAATTTTTTTTTTTTTTTTTTTTTTTTTGAGACGGAGTCTGGCTCTGTCATCCAGGCTGGAGTGCAGTGGCCAGATCTCAGCTCACTGCAAGCTCTGCCTCCCGGGTTTACGCCATTCTCCTGCCTCAGCCTCCCGAGTAGCTGGGACTACAGGCACCCGCCACCTTGCCTGGCTAGTTTTTTGTATTTTTTAGTAGAGACGGGGTTTCACCGTGTTAGCCAGGATGGTCTTGATCTCCTGACCTCGTGATTCGCCCGTCTCGGCCTCCCAAAGTGCTGGGATTACAGGCTTGAGCCACCGCGCCCGGCCACCCGGCTAATTTTTTGTGTTTTTAGTAGAGATGGGGTTTCACCATGTTAGCCAGGATGGTCTTGATCTCCTGATCTCGTGATCCGCCCGCCTCGGCCTCCCAAAGTGCTGGGATTACAGGTGTGAGCCACTGCGCCTGGCCTAATTTTATTTTTTTAATTCTTTTACTTTTTGAGACAGAGTCTCAGTCTGTCACCCAGGCTAGAGTGCAGTAGCATGATCTTGGCTTATTGCAACCTCCGCCTCCCAGGTTCAAGCGATTCTCCTGCCTCAGCTTCCCGAATAGCTGGGAATACAGATGCGCATCACCATGCCCAGCTAATTTTTGTGTTTTTAGTAGAGACAGGGTTTCACCATGTTGGCTAGGCTGGTCTCGAACTCCTGGCCTCAGGTGATCCACCCGCCTCAGCCTCCCAAAGTGCTGGGATTACAGTTGTGAGCCACCACACCCAGCCAGTTTGGGAGTTTTTAAAAATGTCCAACATGGAATTACCATGAGACCCAGCAATCTCACTCCCACGCATCTACCCAGGAAAAACGAAGACATTACTCCAGCTCTGTTTTGATTAAAATAATAATTATTATTATAAAAAGAAGAAAATAAAGACACACATCCACATAAAAGCCTGTGCATGCATGTTCATAGAAGTATTATTTTCTCCAAACAAGGTGAAGGTGAAAGAAAAAAAGCATCTGTTGTGCTGTGGGGCTGGACACCTCATGCTAACCCCAAGGGCTTGTAGCGCTTCACTGAACCTCTCCTGGGGCTGGGCAGAGTGAGGCAGGAATCACAGCCAGGGCAGTGGCCCCCGAGTCCCCCCATGCCACGCGCAGACCACCCGGTGCTGTATCCGAGTCTCCCAACAGACCTGCAATCTCAGGATCGGGACTCCATTGTTCAGATGGAGAAACTGAGGCTCAAAGAAGGGAGGGGACTCGTCCAAGGGAGTCAGGAGAGAAGCCAGGGCTGGAACCAGCCTGGTTGGCCCCCGGGTCCCCACTCATCCCGTGGACAGCCAGCGTGCAGGATGAGGGGCAGGTGTTTATCACGGAGACAGGCCTCCCCGACTGGCCTCAGCTGGCATGCCACTTCTCCATGTGGCCCAGTGACAGCTGTGGCTGGTGGGTCTGTCTCCCCACCTGTAACATGGGAGAGTGGGACTAGAGGACCTTGGAGCCCCTTTGGGGTCCAAGATGGCAGGAGGGACCAGGGGCCACAGAAAGCCCCACCCAGCCTCTTCTGGGGGTCCAGCAGGCTCAGCCACAGCTTCCCCCAGCTCCACCCAGACCCACCCGCTTGCTGACCTTGGGGCTGGGGATAGTCAGTCTTGGGCCTCAACTTTCCCACCTATAAAATGGGAATAGCACAATTGTGTTTACCTGGCTTCGTGGCGTGGCTGGCGAAGCCGGCACCAGCCCAGCGCTCCTGAGACGCTCTCATTCGTTTCTGGGCCTCCCAGAGCCAGAGGTTTTCCTGGCAGCTCCAAACGAGGCTTCCTGAGAGTTGGAGGCGGTGCAGACAGACCACCCTGGGGAACTGGCCATCTTCAGAGACCGGGGAACCATCCACGGTGCAGGCCAGCAAGGCCCCCTTCCCAGCGTGGCTGACTTCGCCTCTGAATTAATCTGGATTTTTAAGCACAATTAAAGAGGTAATCGGGGTCAGAGCGCTTTTGAAACACAGTTTAGCACAAAATCCTAATGCAGGAATTACACCAGTGGAGATTGTCAATACGATGGATTCCCACCAAGGGCACTAAACGAGGGTGCACCGGGGCTGCGCGCCGGGAGGGGCTGGGCTAATTCAGCAGGGCCTCGCCGAGGCAGGCTGGGAGACAGAGCTGCACGGAGGCCTCTGCATCCTGCTCATTACCGGGGAGCCTGGAACACGCTTCGGAGAATTCATTAGGGAAAGAAAACGGTAAAATTTGAAGTTATTTGTAAATCTGACGGGGAAGCCATGCATCACTTCTCAGAAAGAAGTGTGTCGATTCCAGATGGAGCCGACATGGGGGGCGGGGACTGAGGGGCTCTGGGAGGCAGAGTCTGCAGGCCAGCAGGACCCCTGCTCAGGGCCACAGCAGAGCCTCCCCCAGTCCCAGCCTCTGTCTGCATCGCAGTGGGTTGGTGAGTGGTGGCCCTGTTCCCACAGAGTGCACAGTACCAGACGGAGCAGGAGCACAGAGAGGGCAGGCCCTTGACCACCATCACACAGCCAGGGCACGGCCAGCTGGGAGCCCAGCTCCCCCCGAGGTCTGCAGGGAGGGCAGGGGCTCAGCAGCAGCTTCACCTTGTGCTGGAGACCCCGGCTGGGGCAGCCCTGCCTGCATGTGGGAGCAGGAGGTTGGGGCAAAAATCGGGAGGCCCAGCTCCCTCTGCTCCTTCCCTCCTGGCAACCTCTCCAGCTGAGAAATCTCCCCTGCTGGGAGCCCCCACCCCACCTTCCTGTCTCCTCCGCCCCTTCCTGTCCTGCCTCTAGTCCCGGTCAGGCTGTCCCTCCCTCCTTCTCTCCCCCTGCACAGGTTCCTGCCCCGGCTATGAGCCTCAGCCACCTTCCCGGGCTCACTTCAGATTTCTCTGAGACACCAGCTGTTGGGTTCCCGTCGCACCTGTTCCTTCGGGCTCTCCCCTCGCAGGAAATGACCCTGCACAGGGGCTCGCAGCCTCCAGGCCTGAGGGTGGGCCCCGATTATCCAATCCCCACTGTGCCTGGTGCCCATGGATCGTGGACCCTGTCATACACATGGGCTGAGTGCCAGGACACCCACGGAGAGGCTGCCTTCATGGTCCAGTGGCCCCTCGGCGCCCGGGTCACACAGCAGGGTGCAGGGCATAGGCTGGAACCTCCTGCCCGGGTGAGAGTGGGTCTGGGGTCACGGTGGGCAGTGTGTGCCCAGGGCCAGGCGGGCCCAGCCTCACCCTCCTCCCTGCTGTCCCTAGCATGAGGGAGCCTCACGCCTCTGGCAGAGTGTGACCCAGTGCTTGTGATCAGTGGAAGAACCTTCAAGGGCCGGGAGCAGTGGCTCATGCCTGTAATCCCAGCACTTTGGGAGACCAGGGCAGGTGGATGGCCTGAGGTTGGGAGTTCGAGACCAGCCTGGCCAACAGGGCAAAACCCTGTCTCTACTAAAAATACAAAAAATAGCCAGGTGTGGTGGCGGGTGCCTGTAATCCCAACTACTCAGGAGGCTGAGGCAGGAGAATTGCTTGAACCCGGGAGGTGGAGGATGCAGTGAGCACCACTGTATTCCAGCCTGGGAGACAGAGTGAGACTCTGTATCAAAACAAAACGTTGGAGGAAGGGAAGGTGCAGAAGGCATGGCCCAGGGCCTCACTGTGGGGTCCGAGGAGCTGGCAGGAGGGGGATGGAGACGTGAACCAGGGAGAAGACTGTGGGGCCGAGAGGCAGGCTGAGGTCGGAGGAGCTTCTCACAATTCCGGGTGGTGAGACGCCCGTCCAAGGAGGCATCACAGTTGTGGAAGGGATGCTGCTCCCGGCCAGCATGGGATGGGACAGACGCTGGGTGATTCGTTCAGAGCCTGGAAGGTGCAGTAGGGGCACAAGTGGGGCAGCCTTGGGTGGAAAAGTGGCTCTGCCTCGGTCCCTACCATGACACCCACAGAGGGGATCCCGTGGAACAGAGAATCGTCCCTCCTGGGGATGGCAGCCCCCCTGACTACAGTCAAAAGGAGGGGCTGGGGCTCTGGGCCCCTCTGAAGCAGAACTGCCAGCCCGGGTCTTTGGCGTCCATGGAGACCCCAGACCCTGGACTGGTGTTCAGGTTGGCCACTGGGGATGGGACGGTCAGGTGGTGCCCTGGACTCAGGGCTGTCTCCTGTCCTCTCCATGGGGGTCTTTCTCTCAGGCTGGCCCCCAGATCCTCCCACAGGGCCCTGCACATGGGCTGAGGGTGGCATCCCTGCCGTGGGAATAGCTGGAAAGCAAGCCACCCCTTCCGGCCCTGAGTGCAGAGGTTAATGGAGGCAGCGGGGTGGGGAAGCCAGGGACCGAGGCAGCCTGCCCGGCTCCCGGCCAGTGGCTGGGCCTGGGAGGAGTCCCTGTCTCTTCCGGCTGGGACAGAATGATCCATGATCAAAGCTCAGGGGTTTATGAGCCAAGTGGGCAGCAGCCGGAACAGGCTGGAGGTGGGCGGGGGCCTGGCCCCGGGATCTCAGGATGCCCCGGCTCCAAGGGGACCAGCTTGGATGCAGGGGGCAGAAGGACCTCAGAGCCCAGGGGCAGGGCTTAGGATGAAGCCTTCCCTCATGTGCCAGGCACGGCCAGGTGTCCTTATCCTCACAGCGTGGGGAAACTGAGGCTCAGGGTGGATGACACACCCAGGGCCACACAGCCAGACAGCAACCAAGTCAGGATTAGGCCTGGTGATGACCCTGCAGCGTCTCCCACACCCAGTGGGGCTGCCCGCCAGCCACAGGTCAACAGGGAGGGGTTCTCCTCGGCAGTGGGTGGTGGGGACGCCGTGGGTCTCAGCGCTGGAGTCAGGGGACTCCAGGCTGGAACGTTGGGGGCGTGAGGAGTCCTGCCTTCCTGGGCTGGGAACCCCAATGACACCCTCTGGGCTGCGAGGTGCAGGTGTGTGTCGCAGAGCTGGAGGTGGCCTGGCTGGGTCTCTGCGTGGGACACCTTTGACCTCTCACCCTGGGGGAGTCTCTGCGTCTCTCTCTGTCTCTGTCTCCGTCTCCATCTCTGTCTTGGTCCTGCCCAACCTTTCCTCCCCTTCCTTAACACCAGAAACCACACAGCAGCACCCCACCCCACCCCTGGCCACATTCTTGGGCTCTGGACCCACCCTCCCATCCAGGTCCCACCAGAGCCAAAGCCACAAGGGCAGGGCTCCCTCCTCCACCCAGGGGGGCCCGTGGGCTCCTGCGACTACCACCCGGGCTATGCCAGCCACATGCCCCCAGCCTTCCCGCCCTTCCCTCTGTCTGTTCCCGGCGGCTGCCCCAGTCATGGAGAGAGGCAGAGACAGACCACAGCCCTATGGGGCAACCGGAAAACCCCTCCTCACTCAGGATGAACTCCAAGGGGCTTCCCCGTCCCCCGCCGAGGTGGACTCCCAGCCTGGCATCAGGAGCAGCCCACCTGCCTCCTCGGCCGTGCCCCGCCAGGCTGTGCCCCTAAGCCAGCTAGGCCATTCACACCTCCATGCGCTGGTCCCTGCCATGCCTTTGCGAGACGCACCGCCTCCAAAACCGCTCTTCACATCGAATCAGCCCAGCATAGCCTGCTCACCCACCGTGCCCTTCTCCAGAAGCAAGACAGTCTGGGCTGGGCCGTGAGGGTCCATGACCCCCCACGCCATGCTGTGGCCCTCACTGCACTCTCAGTGCTGGGCTTCCACAGGTGAGCCTCCCCCAGGACGAGTGTGATGTCCCAGGGCCCTCTGAGCCCCTTCTTGTGTGTGGGGCCTGCCTTCCGAGGGTTCAGCTCAGTCCTGCCCAATAGCCCTTCAGGAACTCTCATTATCTTCCCCACTTTACAGCTGGGGAAACTGAGGCTCGGAGTGAGCTAGCCCCTCCCCGTCCTGTCTCCCTTCCCTGCTGGGTCCACCCACTCAGGGCTTTCTAAGAGGGTGGATTTTAATTAAGCCAGTTTGTAATTACCTACCTGCATTTTACTTAATAAACTCAGGGGAGTTTTCATTTTTTGGCCTTATTTTAAAATTTCACTGCTGCCTGCCTACATGGAGAGAGAGGTCCTCGAAAGCTAGCCCGGGTGACTGGTTTGGAGCTCCTGGGGAGTCTTGGGGGCTGGCGGACAGAGCTGGGAGCAGCAGGCAGCCCCAGCCCATGCTAGGTGTCCCCTGGCGGCTGCCTGATATGGTTTGGATCTGTGTCTCCGTCCAAATCTCATGCAAAATTGTAATCCCCAATGTTGGCGGTGGGTTGTGGTGGGAGGTGACTGGATTGTGAGGGTTGGTTTCTCATTAACAGTTTAGCACCATCCATCTCCATCCTGGCCTTGTGACAGTTCACCCTCTCCTTTCTCCTGCTCCTGCTGTGTGAGACGCCTGCTCCCGCTTCACCTTCTGCCATGACTAGAAGCTTCCTGAGGCCCTCCCAGAAGCAGAAGCTGTTGTGCTTCCTGTACAGGTTGCAGAACTATGAGCCAACTAAACCTCTTTTCTTTATTATTTTATTTTATTTTTTGTTTGAGACGGAGTTTCACTCTTGTCGCCCAGGCTAGAGTGCAGTGGCACAATCTCGGCTCACTGCAACCTCCACCTCCCAGGTTCAAGCGATTCTCCTGCCTCAACCTCCTGAGTAGCAGGGATTACACGTGCCTGCCACCACACCCAGCTAATTTTTTGTATTTTTAGTAGAGACAGGTTTTTGCCATGTTGGGCAGGCTGGTCTCAAACTCCTGACCTCAGATGATCCACCCGCCTCAGCTTCCCAAAGTGCTGGAATTAGAGGCGTGAGCCACCGCACCTGGCCTAAACCTCTTTTCTTTATAAATTATGCAGTCGCAGGCATTTACTTATAGCAGCATGAAAATGGCCTAATACACTGCCCCTCCAGGGAAGGACACGCGTCTCCACCGTGCCCTCAACAAGGGCACTGTCTGCACAGGGGACCCCCTGCTGGGCTCTCAGGGGTCCCTCCTCCACCCTGCAAGCCCTGTCTGCCTGCTGGGAGCGTCCTGATGATCAGACCAGAGAGCTCCCCCGCTTCCACGCGCCTTTTCAGGGGAGGGGCAGTCGGGGGCTAGCAGGGAGCTACAGGCTTGGCACTCGGTGAGGTTGGGCATGGCGGGGACCAGTCAGGGGTCCAGCCTTGGGGCAGCGGCGGCTGGGGACTCCCCTCCTGAGTCAGACTGTATTAGTCCCTTCTCATGCTGCTATGAAGAAATACCTAAGACTAGGTAATTTATAAAGGAAAGAGTTTTTTTGTTTGTTTTGTTTTTGTTTTTGTTTTTGTTTTGAGACAGAGTCTTGCTCTGTCACCCAGGCTGGAGTGCAGTGGTGCAATCTCAGCTCACTGCAACCCCCACCTCCCGGGTTCAAGCGATTCTCCTGCCTCAACCTCCCGAGTAGGTGCCTGCCACCACGCCTGGCTAATTTTTTTTTTTTTTTTTTTTTGGTACTTTTAGTAGAGACAGAGTTTCACCATGTTGGCCAGGCTGGTCTCAAACTCCTGACCTCAAATGATCCGCCTGCCTCAGCCTCCCAAAGTGCTGGGATTACAGGCGTGAGCCACCGTGCCTGGCCAAAGGAAACAGGTTTAATAGCCTCACAGTTCAGTATGGCTGGGGAGGACTCAGGAAACTTACAATCATGGCAGAAGGGGAAGCAAACACGTCCGTCTTCACAAGGTGGCAGGAGAGAGAAGAATGAGCATCTAGTGAAGGGGGAAGCCCCTTACAAAACTATCAGATCTCGTGAGAACTCATTCACTATCATGATGGTATCTGAATGGGGAAAACTGCCCCCATGATTCAATTATCTCCACCTGATCCCTCCCATGACAGGTGGAGATTATGGAAGCTACGATTCAAGACGAGATTTGAGTGGGGACATAGATGAGATTTGGGTGGGGACACAGGGGGATTTGGGTAGGGACACAGGCAAACCACATCACAGCCAAAGCCAAATCCACTGTCACCTGCCCTCACCAGTGTGTCCATCCCAGGGGAGTTTATTGAGGTCCTACTATGTGCTGGGGCTGTGGTGGTCGCTGACACGGACCCCTATGCCGCACACAGCTACTGGGCTCACCCTGCTTTTCAGAGCATGGAATTTGTTGTAGGATTGAAAAATCAGGTAAGTTCACAGAAAAACTGCCTTTGCAGCTTCCTGTAGAACATGGGCAGGTCCCCAGAGGGCAACATTGAGCTGGTGCTGGCGGGCAGCTCACCTCCAGGGAGCCTGGGCTGCCCCAGCAGGGCGGCCGGGTGTGGTGGTGCAGGTAACACACTCAGTCTTCACCTCGAGGCACTGGGCAAGATGGCAGCACCTCCTGGGGCACCCGGCCCCACCCGATTCACACCACTCCCAGGGCCTCGGCACAGAGCCGCCCTCCACATCCCGGGGCTCCCCGTGCCCCTCCCGACACGTGAGCTCCAGGTATGGGGCCCAGAGCAGCAGCAAGGCTCAGCACGGCCCTCAGAGAACTTCCCCAGCACAGGGAAGGGCAACCTCCAGGCCTCCGACTCCGGCCCACCCCAGCTCAGGCTGCAAAGGCCTCGGCCATGGCCGGGGATGGGGAGCACAGCAGTTCTGCCCCTGGGAGGACCTGAGGCCGGGGGACTGAGCATGGGCAGTCTCGGGGGAGCAGAGCATGGGGGGACCACTCCATCCAGGAGGCCCCAGGGGCTGAGTGCACCAGATATTTATTTTGTCCTTCCCTGGGACACTGGACGCCAGGACCAGTGCTGACAGATTGACGTAGCAGGTTAATAAGTGCGCTCCCTCCTCCTAAAGGCTAATGAAATATTAATCAGCCTGGTGAGGTCAGCAGAAATGGCTTGGTGGTGCCAGAGTGAGATGCGTTTAATTAATTCTCCTGCGGAGGGTCAGGCCTGTGGCCCCACCCCCCACCTTCACTGCCCTCCACACCCGCCCAGGCCTCAGTGGGACCTGCCCAGCTTCTTGGCACCACAGACGGCCCCCTCACCCTCAAAACCCTACCCAGGAGGTGAGCGCTGGCATCTCTGCCCACCCCCGCCTGGATCCCCCCAGGAGCCCTCTCCCTGCTTGCCCCTGCCTGGATCCCCCCGGAACTCTCTCCCTGCCCACCCCTGCCTGGACGCTCCCAGAAACCTCTCCCTGCCCTTCCCAGTGCCCTGGGTCTTCTGTCTCCAGGACACCTTCCCTGGCCCACGTTGGGCTGGCCTGTGGCTGTGGAAGGTCAGAGGGCAGCTCCCACCCCAGCCAGCTCCCTCCTGTCCAGCAGGCCGGGCCCAGGCAAGGTTTCCACCTGCCCGTCAGTGCAGGCCGGGTCTCATGGAGCTGAGGAACAGAGGCTGGAGCTGTGGACACACCAGGTGAGGATCAGTGGCTGTGCGTAGCGTACCCAGTGTAGGGCAGAGCCGGAGGGGAAATGGGGTCGGGGCCCTGCCTCCCCGTCTGTCTGGTTACAATCAGGGAAGGCCCCTGCCTGCCCCCACTGCAGTGGGGGCTGATCCAGGGCTGGGGGCACAGGGCTTCTCAGGAGGCCCCCCAAAGAAGCCCTCAGTCGTGGGGTGATCGGAGGTGCCGTGGGGTGGAGTTAAGACAGAGACAGGCAGTGAGGTCCCCAGGCCACTGCAGAGGGCAAGTCTGCGCTCCCCCGTGGGACAGGGCTCAATTCCAGAGGAGCAGGGTATTGGGGTCACCTTGTCCGAACCCTAGGCTCACTTACGGAGGTCACGGTGAGGCCCCCAAGGGAAAGGCCGGGCTGTGCTGGGCCAGGGAGGCAGCCAGGCCATGGGGGCCAATGGACACAGCCAGCACGTCTGCCCAATACTGGGCTGGGGACCCTGGGCCCGAGACCACAGTGCCCAGGGACCACAAGACGGCCCAGGCAGTGGCCTGCTAAGGGTGGGGGTCATTGCACAGAAGCCCTGTGATGGGACAGTTGGGTCCTGGGTCCAAGGTTGGAACCGCTGATGGGGCGGTTCTGGAGCACGAGGCTGCCCCGGGGGGCTCCGTCCCAACACGTCTCAGGCAAACCTCCTGGGAGGTGGGTCAGGAGTCCTGCACGTGGGTGTCTGCTGTGGCTCCACGTTAATTTTTTATTTATTTGAAAGTGGGACTGGAAGCGGTTTCAAGTGAGTCTGAAGTAATTAGGAGTTCCTGCTGATGGATCGCACTGGAGGGACGTGAGGATTATTTATTACCGAGTCACTTGCCGGAAAGGTTAGAGGCTGAGAAGTAATTATTTTTCCTTTCTCTCTGCCCCTACCCTGCCTCTCTGTCTAAAGGGGATATTTTACGGGGCGCAGGGAGCAGTCGTGGGGTCCAGGGCCACCCAACCCCCTGCCCCAAAGAAGTGGGCTGACGGTGGAGCTGGTGCCAGGAAGATCTGGGGTCACAGGAGCCTCTGAGGGATCTGCCCCAGCCCTCCTTTCTTCTTCTTCTTTTTTTTTAAATCCCTCTCTTTTGCTTCTTTCCTAGTGTAAGTTTCTCCAGGAAGGCAAAGGCACTAACTTGCTGTGTGCTCAGCCCCTTGTGGGATTCTGGGACACTCTGAAATGTGCCATTGGAGCCTCAAGGATACCCTAGGGCAGAATAGCCCAGGCAGCTGGGACAGCAGGTGCAGAGGCCTTGGGTGGGGACCTGCTGGCACCTGCAGGGCTGGGCAGGACAGGGGATGGACAGAGAGAGGAATGGCCAGATTAGATGTTCTGAGAAGCCTTGGAGGGTCAGGAATAGGGAACACCCCTGATCCACTCACTGTCTTCACCTGGTAAGTGTGGGCTTTCAAAAATGCAAAACTCACCCCTTTTTCCCCTCTCTCCAACCTGTCCCAGCCTGGATTTGCCTTGCCATCACTCCCACTCTCTCCTGCAGTAGCATTTCACACTTCCAGGGAGCCGCCGGGTGCAACAGAAGGCTGGGAGTCGTGAGGGACAAGAAGCGCAGCCTGACTGGCGTCAACAGAAGAGGAATTTTGTTGCCTCCTGGACCTGATCTGTCTGAGGTAGATCTTCGGCTTCAGGCATGGCTTGATCCAGGGCTCAATTGTCATCATCAGGGTCCACATCTGAGATCTGATTCTTCTGAGATGGTGGCTTGACCTTGAGGCTCCAAAAATTTTCCAAGGATCTAGACTTCCAACCAAGATAAAGCAACAGGAGCTGGATTTACCCTTTCACCCAAAACATCAAGAAAACCAGACAAAATTTAAGAAACAATGGCTTTTAGGATGCTAGACATCAGGTAGCAAAAGACAGTGCTCCCTGAGAGAAGGGGGAGAAATACAGGGAGTCTTGCGAGAGTTTTCAGGCTGTGGTGCAGGGAGGGGTACCCAAGTGTAGCCCAACAAACCCCCTCAGTTGAGGAGACAGGGCTAAGGGTCTTAAGAGACGAAGGTGGCTTGAGTTTGCAGGAGGAGACAAGGCTAAGGGTCTTAAGAGACGAAGGTGGCTTGAGTTTGCAGGACAACGCACATAAAACGAGAGTCCTGAACAGAGAGTGAGGACTTGGGCAGTCTGCAGAGAGTTCATCCCAAGTGTTCAATTTATCAGTGCATGAATGTGGAGAAATTGTCCAAGGCCTGGGGAAGAACCATCCAAAAGGATTAGAGACCAATGCCCAGTGCTGACTCAGGGCTGGGAGATGTATTCTCCCCAGCCAGACTCATGATGGCAAAACTCATCATTTGCAGGTCCCTAGGAAGAATGTTCAAGAAGGTGTTGCCTCAGTTGTAAGGCATAATTAGCACCAGACTGCCACAGATGCACTACACCAATAACAACAGCAAGACTAGAAAGGATTGCACTCTTCCTTCCTTCCTTCCTTCCTTCCTTCCTTCCTTCCTTCCTTCCTGACTTCCTTCCCTCCCTCCCTCCCTTCCTCCCTTCCTCCCTCCCTCTCTCTGTCTCTCTCTCTCTCTCTTTCTTTTTTTCTTTATTAGACTGAGTCTCGCTCTGTCACAGGCTGGAATGCAATGGCACCATCGCTGGTTCAAGCGATTCTCCTGCCTCAGCCTCCCGAGTAGCTGGGTTTACAGGCGTGCACCACCACGCCCAGCTAATTTTTATATTTTTAGTACAGACAGGGTTTCACCATGTTGGCCAGTATGATTTCGATCTCCTGACCTCGTGATCCGCCCAGCTTGGCCTCCCAAAGTGCTGGGATTACAGGCATGAGCCACTGCGCCCAACCTTTTTTTTTTTTTGACATGGAGTCTTGCTCTATCACCCAGGCTGGAGTGCAATGGCACCATCTTGACTCACTACAGCCTCCGCCTCCCAAGTTCAAGCAATTCTCCTGCCTCAGCCTCCTGAGTAGCTGGGATCACAGGCACCCGCCATCATGCCCAGCTAATTTTTATATTTTTATAGAGACGGGGTTTCACCATGTTGGCCAGGCTGGTCTAGAACTCCTGACCTCAGGTGATCCACCCGCCTCAGCCTCCTAAAGTGCTGGGATTACAGACATGAGTCACCACGCCCGGCCAGATCACACTGTTTCTAAGCAACTTGACTGCATCCCAAAATACAGACTCAGGTATATTTATAGAAATATGAAAATATCAAGCAACCAGTGAGATAAAGTTCACAATGTCTAGCATCCAATCAAAGATTATCAGGCATTAAAAGAAACTGAAAAACATGACCCAAAATAAGGAGAATACTTGACCAATGGAAACTGACCCCAGGACTGACACAGATGTTAGAATGAGCAGACAGGCACATAAAATCAGTTGTTATAACTATTCTATATGCTCAAAAAGTTAAGTAGAAACATGGAAGATGTAGGCTGGATGAGGTAGTTCACACCCATTACCCCAGCACTTTGGGGGGCTGAGGTGAGAGGATTGCTTGGGGCTAAGAGTTCAAGACCAGCCTGACCAACATAGCAAGACCCTGTTCTACAAAATCTTTAAAAATTAGCTGGAAATGGGGATGCATTCCTGTAGTCCCAGGTACTTGGGAGGCTGACACAGGAGGATCACTTGAGTTCAGGAGTTTGAGGCTGCAGTGAGTTATGGTCATGCTACTGTACTCCAGCCTGGGTAACAGAGAGAGAAGAAAGAAAGAAAATAGAAGGAAGGAAGGAAGGAAGGAAGGAAGGAAGGAAGGAAGGAAGGAGAGAAAGAAAGAGAGGAGAGAAAGAAGAAAGAAAGAAAGGAAAGAAAGAAAGAAAGAGAGAGAGAGAAAGGAAGGAAGGAAGGAAGGAAGGAGAGAGGGAAGGAAGGAAGGGAGGAAGGAAGGAAGGGAGGGAAGAGAAGAGAAAGAGAGAAATGAAAGATAAAGAAAGGAAGAAAAGAAACATAGAAGATACAAAAATGACCCAAACTGAACTTGTAGTTGTGCAAACTATAATGTCTTAGATTTAAAAATACACTAGATGGCATTGATAGAAGATTAGACATGTCAGAAGAAGCTATTCAGAATGAAGAATAAATCTTTTTACTTTAATTACAAACATCAGTGAGTTGTGGGACAGTTTCAAGCAGCCTAATGTGTAGGTAGTTGGAGTTCCTGAAGGAGAGGGGAGAGAAAAAAATATTTTGAAGAGATAATGGCTGAAAATTTACCAAATTTGATCAAAAGTATAAACTCACGGATAAGAAGCCTGACATACCGCAGGTTTAAGAAACATGATGAAAAGTACATGCAGGTGTAATTTATGAAATTACTGAAAAGAAGATTTATTATTATTATTATTTTTGCAGTGGGGTCTTGCTCTGTCACCCAGGTTGGAGTGCACTGATGCAATCACAGCTCACTGCAGATTCTGCCTGCTGGGCTCAAGTGATCCTCCCACCTCAGCCTCCTGAGTAGCTGAGACTACAGGTATGCACCACCATGCCCAGCTAATTTTTTATATTTTCTGTAAAGATGAGTTTTCACCACCTTGGTCAGGCTAGTCTCGAGCTCCTGACCTCCGGTGATCCACCCACCTTGGCCTCCCAAAGTGCTGGGATTATAGGCATGAGCCACTGTGCCTGGCCTAATTTTTTTTTTTTGAATTTTTTGTAAAGATGGGGTTTCACCACGTTGTCCAGGCTGATCTTGAGCTTCTGCACTGCACTCAAGCAATCCACCTGTCTCTGCCTCCCAAAGTGTTGGGATTACAGGTGTGAGCCACTGTGCCTAGCCAAGGAAAATCTTAAAAGCAAAGAAAAGATACAGAGAGAAAACATACAGAAAGATAAAAATAAGAATGAGAGCATGTTTTTTTTCAGTGGACATATTAAAGCAAGAAGACAGTGGAGCAACATTTTGAAAGTACTGAAAACCCTTTCAACCTAGAATTCTATACCCAGCAAAACTATTTTTCAGAACTGACAATGAAACAAAGACATTTTCATGAGTTTCAAGTCAAGGTTAAGTGGAAAAAAAATTAAAAAATAAAAAAAGACATTGTCAGACAAACAACAGCTGAAATAACTCAGATAACTCATCAGCAGCAGACGTGTACTACAAGAAATGTTAAAGGAAGTCTTTCAAGCTGATAGAAATGTGAATTTACACAAGGAATGAGAGGCACTGGGAATGGTGAGTACACAGGAAAATACATGATTTTCTGTTGCTATATAAATGTCTCCCAGTGATAATTGACCATTTAAACAAAATAATAACAATGTTTGTCAGGTTTATAACACAAGTATAAGTAAAGTGAATGCCGACAATAGCAAAAACCCCATGATGGGAGAAATGGGAGTATTTGTACAACAGCAATTCCACAAAAACTGTCCAAGGGATTCTATCAGTGTCAATCTCCTGGTTGTGATATTGCATTATACTTTGCTTTTTAAAATTATTTATTTATTTATTTATTTTTTGAGATAGAATCTTGCTCTGTCATGCAGCCTGGAGTGCAGTGGTGCAATCTTGGCTCACCGCAACCTTCGCCTCCCGGGTTCAAGCAATTCTCCTGCCTCAGCCTCCCGAGTAGCTAGGACTACAGGCATGCACCACCATGCCCAGCTAATTTTTTTATTTTTAGTAAAGACGGGGTTTCACCATGTTGGCCAGGCTGGTCTCAAACTCCTGAACTCGTGATCCCCCGCCTCGGCCTCCCAAAGTGCTGGGACTAGCGGCTTGAGCCACGGCACCCAGTCAGTTTGCTTTTTTTTTTTTTTAGATGGATTGTTGCTCTGTCACTCAGGCTGGAAGGCAGTGGCAAGATCCCAGCTCTCTGCAACCTCTGCCTCCTGTGTTCAAGCGATTCTCTTACCTCAGCCTCCTGAGTTAGCTGGGACTACAGACATGTGCCACCATGCCCGGCTAATATTGCATTTTTAGTAGAGACAGGGTTTCGCCATGTTGGCCAGACTGGTCTTGAACTCCTGACCTCAGGTGATCTGCCGCCTTGGCCTCCCAAAGAGCTGGGAATACAGGCGTGAGCCACTGCACTAGGCCTGCATTATAGTTTTGTTATAGATGTTACCACTGGGGAAAACCAGGCAAAGGGTACACTGTATTATTTCTTACAATTGCATGTGAACCTACAATTATCTCAACACAAAAATTTATTTGTGAGTGTGGTTTTTTTGTATGTTTGTATGTTTGTTTTTGTTTTGTTTTTTTGTTTTTTGTTTTGAGACAGAGTCTCACTCTGTCACCCAGGCTGGAGTGCAGTGATATGATCTCGGCTCACTGCAAGCTCCACCTCCCAGGTTCAAGTGATTCTCTTGCCTCAGCCTCCCGAGTAGCTGAGATTACAGGCACCCAAACACCGCGCCCGGCTAATTTTTTGTATTTTTAGTCGTGACAGGTTTCGCCATGTTCTCCAGGCTGGTCTCAAACTCCTGACCTCAAGTGATCCACCTGCTTTGGCCTCCCAAACTGTTATGATTACAGGCGTGAGCCACTGCACCCAACCTAAATTTTTTAAACTTAAAAAGTCAATACAAACTAATAGAAAAAAAAAAAAAAACATGATGTACAAAATACCTAAGTTTTAAACATAGAATCTGGAGGGAGAAAATTCCAGAGAGCTGAGGGGAAGCAAGTTCCAGGCCCTTCCTCTTTCCCACCACACCATTTCCAAATCTCACATCTTGACGCCATGAGCTCAGAAGATAAATCTTTCTAACACTCAGTTTCTACACCGGGAAAACAAGGATTAAAAACAGCTGCTTCAACAGATGGATGTTATCCATACATGACTCAGTCATAAAAAGGAAGGAAGGACTGGCACAGGCTACAGAAGGGAGGAACCTTGAAAACATTCTGCCGAGTGGGGCCAGGCGCGGTGGCTCACACCTGGAATCCCAGCACTTTGGGAGGCCGAGGCGGGCGGATCCCCTGAGGTCAGGAGTTTGAGACCAGCCTGGCCAACATGGTGAAACCCTGTGTCTACTAAAAATACATAAATTAGCCAGGCATGGTGGTTGGCGCCTGTAATCCCAGCTACTTGGGAGGCTGAGGTAGGAGAATCGCTTGAACCCAGGAGGCGGAGGTTGCAATGAGCCGAGATTGTGCCATTGCACTCCAGCCTGGGCAATAAAAGTGAACCTCCGTCTTACAACAAAACAAAACAAAAACAAAAACAAAAAAATTAGCCAGGTGTGGTGGCACACGTCTGTCATCCCAGCTGCTCTGGAGGCTGAGGCAGGAGAATCACTTGAACCCGAGAGGTGGAGGTTGCAGTGAGCCCAGATCATGCCACTGCACTCCGGCCTGAGCAACAGAGCAAGACTGTTTTGTTTCTCAGCAAAACAAAAAACAAAAAAAACACCATGATGCCAGGTGAAGGAAGCCAGACCATATGATCCCGCTGATATGGAATACCCAGAACAGGCAAATCCATAGAGGCGGAAAACAGACTGGCTGCTGGCTGCCAAGGGCGGGGGTGACTGCAACTGGGTATG